CGGCCCGCACGGAGGGTCGGCCTCCGAGGCCCCGTGCGCCCCGGCCCGCGCCGCCTCCGCAGCTCCTGGTAAGGAGACAGGGTTGGTCCGGCCACACACGGTTTCTGGACGGCCGCAGGGGGTGGGGGGCAGAGCCGAAGGCCCAGGGGAGGGCAGCGGGGACCCCGGGGGACCCAAAGAGGCAAAAGCCACCCTGCAGGGAGCGCAGACGGACCACCTCAGCCAGGGCCGTCCTTCCCCGGCCAGGAGCTCACCTGAAGCAGGGCCTCTCCTCTCCTTCCCAGCTCCCGGCGGCCCGCCCGAGCAGGAAGCCTCGCCCTTGCCCGGCACCTGAGGGGCCCAGAAAGGCCTGCCTAACGGAAACGCTGCCCAGAGGGAGAGACCGTGTTACCCCAAGACAGCCACCCACCGACAGCCCTGCCCCCAGCACCCCCCCCAAAAAAAATAAAGTTAATGAGACAAAATAAACAAAATTAAATGCACACTAAAAATCCTCTTGGGCCCCGGCACCGGTGGCTCACGCCTGTCAGCCCAGCTACTCAGGAGGCTGAGATCTGAGGATCGTGGTTCGAAGCCAGCCCGGGCAGGAAAGTCTGTGAGACTCTCATCTCCAATAAACCACTAGAAAACTGGAAGTGGCGCTGTGGCTCAAAGTGGTAGAGCGCCCAGGCTCTGAGTTCAAAGCCCCATGTCACACTAAAAATAGTAAGGCAGGGAGGGGCATGGTGGTGAATATCTGGACTGCTCCTAATACCAGCCTTCTAGAGGCTGAGGCAGCAGACCCTGGGTATATAGATTCTGTCTCAATCAAAAAAAAATAAAATAAAAAAACCCTTCTAGGAGGCTCCTGGAGTAGCTGGGTGGTAGAGGGCTTCCTAAACGCAGGAGGCCCTGGCTTCCATCCCCCCTTCCACAGTGGCAGCCCGCTCTACTCCTCCAGGCGCTGAGCTGGCCCTGCCTCTACTTTTCCTGAACAGAAGCAGGATCTTTCAAGGTCAGCCTGGTGACTCCCTTTCCTCGTCCTACCCTGTGGCAGGCCCAGCAGCAGCAAGCGGGAAGGACGGTCCACTCCTGAGCTGGCACCCAGCGGCTGGCCACTGCTGTGGCCACCAGCCATGGCAGTTCAAACTCAAAAGACTACTCAGTTTCCCTTGCCCCATTTCTAGTGCTCATCAACCCATGGACACAGATATAAAACATTTCCATCCCTGTGGAAGGTTCTAGAGAACAGTGCTGTTTAGATGAACAGTGAGAGAGGAAGGAAGAGGGGGATGGTGTGGAGCAAGGCAGCAGGGGCCCCTCCCTGACACTCCAGGGCCTCGGGAAGTTGGGAGGTTGGGTGGCAGGTGAGCCGTTACCCCAGGCGAGCCCGTTTCTCTTCTGCAGCATGTCCTTGTAGACGCTCTGCTGGGCGTGGTCCAGCCTCCCCCACTCCTCCCGGGACAGGTACAGAGCCACATCCTCAAAGGTTACTGGCATCTGAAACGACATCCAACACCCAACTGATGGTACCAAGTGACGTGGGCAGGAGCCAGGCCTGCCACTCAGACCCGCCAGTCGGGCAGCAGAGCCCCTCACAAAGCAGGTGTCCAGGGGCCACAGGTGAAGCTCAGGATTTCCACGCAGCCTGCTGCCACTCCCCGGCTCATGCTCGGCAGAACAATTCCCCATCGGAGGCCCAACTCCCTGTTTCTGCTTTCCCTCCAGCCCTGGGCAGACCTGACCGTGGGCCCCAGGCCTTTCGGATGGCCAGTCCAGCAGCACTTCAGTGAGCACCCGGGACAGCGAGTGCCCTGTGGGGTCAGGCCAGCTGGGGTCCTGCCTTCACAGGAAGAGACAGCAGGTGCAGGAAGGGCTGAGCAGCGATTGAGGGGAGCTGGGCCCTGCCACTGTGTAGGGATGGGGGGGGGGGGGAGTAAAGAAACCTTCAGAGACATTCACCTGCGACCAAGCTGTGAGGAGTGCTGCAGCCATCTGCCTGTCTCTGGTCCTGCCCGGCCTGCCTCTGGTCCTCCCTTCGGAAAGCATGGTGGTCAGGGGGGAGGAGAGGGCTGCAGGAGGGAAACAGACCTTAGTGTAGGCAGCACTTCCTGCCCTGGCTCCCCCCAAGCTGCCTCAAGCCCAATTCCCAGCCTGACTCAAGAAGAGGGTCAAATGCTCCAAGGTTTTAAGAGGGCATCTAGGAGAGTCAGGCAGACAGGAAGTAGGAATCTGGGTCCCTCCCAAGCCGAGCCCCACCATCCGCAGGAAAGCACCTCATTGGCAGCTCTCTCCTACCTGCACCAGGCAGGAAGAGAGCTTTTTCTTCAGAGCCAGGACTCAGTGGTCCCCACTCCCCAGCACCTGGCCTTCTGGTGTCCTGCGAAGTCGCCTCAGGGTGAGGCTCTTCTGGCTCTGACTTAATGTGTGCTGACGCCTGAATGGCTCCCGGGGGTACTGGCTCCCCATGTCTGCTGAGCATTTCTTGACAAGGATGTTGGTGACCTGGGACCTAGGAATAACAGCCCCCATCAGCATCTGGCTGGAATTCAGGAAGACCGCCTGAGAGAACACACACCCAAATGGCCTGAAGGGTTGCCTGCTACTTGTTGTCCAGCTCACCCAGCACCATGGGTGGCAAGAGAGAGACCCACCAAGCCTCCACCACCGTGGACGTGAACAAGGTGCCTAGTGGGTTGTTATTTAATTAATTATTTGATTTTGCCAGTCCTGGAGCTTGAACTCTAGATCTGAGCTCTGTCCCAGAGCAAGCACTCTACTTCAGCCACAGCAACACTTCTGGCTTTTTCTGAGTAGTTTATTGGAGATAAGAGTCTCATGGGCTTTCCTGCCTGGGCCGGCTTCGAACTGCAATCCTCAGATCTTAGCCTCCTGAGTAGCTAGGATTACAGGCAGGCGTGAGCCACTGGTGCCTAGCTGCTGCTATTTTTTAATACTCAAGAAAACTAAATGGAGCAGATAAAGCAGGATCCCCTCTCAAATCCACCTGAAACCTCCAGGTGCAACTTTATTTGGAAAATGGATCTTTATAGAAGTAATCAAATTAAGGATCTTGAAATGAAATCATCCTGGACTTAGCATAGGCTCTAAATCTGATGACACAGGTACTTACAAAAATAGAAATCCCCAGATAGGCATAGTAGGGCATACCTGTAATCCTAGATACTCTAGAGGCTGAGATTTAAGGATCACAATTTGAAGTGAGCCTCTGAAGAGAAGTCTGTGAGAGTCTATCTCCAAATAGCAAAATGCCAGATAGGAGGCATGGCTCAAGTGGTACAGTACCAGCCATGAGTAAAAAAGCTGAGTGAAAGCAAGTAGCACTGAAAGCAGGTAGCACTGAGTTTAAGCCCTGGTATCAGCAAACACATACAAATGAAAGTTCACTAGACTCCATCTCAACCAATAAAAAAAAAGTGAGCACCTGTCATCCTAGCTACACAGGAAGTACCATTGGGAGTAGAGTGGTCTCGTCTGGTTTGGTAAAAAACAGCTTGAGTGGTAGAGCACCGAGCAAGCTGAAACCCTGAGTTCAAACCCCGGGACAGCTGAGGGTGGGAAGGAGAGAACAGAAAACCTAGAGATGGCGTGAGATGGAGTGATAACACCAGCCGGGAGCTCGAGGAGGAAAGAGGAAGGAAGGCCTCCCAGAAAGCCTTCGGGGGAGGGCAGCCAGGCTGACCCCTCAGCCTCTAGCAAGGTTAAGGAAATGAATCGTGGTTGTTTTAAGCAGCCTGCTTTGTGCTAACTTGAGACCCAAGCCACAAGAAATCAGGCATCTAGGGCCCAGAGATAAGACACAATGCACAACCACAGCACAAAAGCTTCTGATATTTCCTTCACCCTGAGAGGCCTCTTACAATCCCCATCACCAGCAGCCTTGTCCTGGGAGTTTGGACCTACCCCTCCCTTGCTCCTCTACATTTGGGGATTGAAGGGAAATGCCCTCGGAATCTCTGGCTGCCAGGCCAGCAATGCCCCTGCTCTGACTGATGGATCCAAGTCTCTTCACTGCCTGCAAAGTGGTGGCAAAGAGGCCAGCTAGTTAAATGAGACTGCTGCCTGATCTAGAAGGTTCTAGATGGGTTCGATGGCGAGTGATTTATTATTACTTATTACTGCACTTCACAGATTACATCAGTAGAGAATGCCATGCACGAGGCCTGCCCGGTGCCTTGCACATCAGAGGCGGGTGGGGAAGGACACCGCACAGTGGTACCGCCTTTGAAAATAGTAGCAGCAGTACGTGGTGTACGATGTATTTATAACCAAGATGGGTAAAGGACAAAGTAAAAGTTCACAGTGAAGGGTAGATGGGGTATAGTTGCTATCACCCACCTCACTCATCTACCAACCCTCCTCCCTAGGTGATTCTCTTAGCTCCATCCAGACACCCAACTTTGAAAAGTCCTCCCAGGATCCTCCCTCACCCAAGGCAACAGCATACCTCTTCCCCTTTCTCCTTAGTCTCAGTAGCCCTCAGGCCTTTGCCATCTGCAGACATTTCCAGTTCTGGCTAGGAAGGGAAGCAAGTTGGTTCTCTCTTCTGCTGGTCAAGCCCCATCCAGTTTCTGGCCTGGAGTCTGGAAAACAGAAAGGAAATCAGCTGGCACTTCCCAGATACCTCCTAAGTGTCCAGGAAATCTCTGCCCACTCAGAGCTCCCCTGTCCCAACCAGACAAGCAGTCCAACTGGGCCTAATCCAGTTCCCCTGGGGCAATGGATTTAAATTCTGTCCTGAAACATTTCTGTTGTGCACTGTCCTTTTGGTTGTTGAACCAAGAGTCCTGCGTCTCAGGGCGACCTGCTCAGGAAACGCAGGGGCTACGTGAGAATGGGGGGGGGGATTTAAAGAGATCCTCCAAAAACAATCTGGGGGGTCCCGCCTGTCACAGCCAGAGGCACCCCAGCCGCTGTCCTCAGGCCCCGAGCCCGGGGTCCCGTGCCCCACCCCAACTTGGAGCCCCTCCGGGCAATCCAGAGAGACCAACCCATCCACTCTCAGCAGACCCCCCCAACGGCCACGCCCACTTCCGGGGGTCTCTGCTTCTCACTGCCCCCCCTCCCGGGATGGGGGGGCACGCCCTTCAACTTCCCAATCCCAGATCCAGGCCCCCTTTATCCCGCCAGCACGAAACCCTGCGCCTCTGACCATGTCCTCTGCTACACACTGCACACCCGCGCCAGGCTCGGGCGCCCGCCCTGAACCGCCTTCTTACCAAGGTAGCGATGCACAGGGCGCGGGAGGTGGAGGGCCGCCTTCCCCGGGAGGAGAATCTCTGCAGCCCGCAGCCGGAGGATGGGGAGAAAACCGGGTGGAGACTGGGATTGGGGACAACAGGAAGTCCCGCCCAGATCCCGTTCCCCACACAGGCTGCGAGCCCACAGGGTTCCCAGCCTTGAGGGTTCCGCGTCTGGGGTCCCGAGCCCCAGCCGCACCTGTGCTCGGCCTCCCAGGTCCTGAACCCTGGCTCGTGAGGATGACTTCACCCAGCCGGGGGGCGATGGCCTTGGCAAAGAAACCACTGCGGACATCCCCAGAGGAAGGAGCGGGCAGGCCTCATCTTGCAGCACACGTGGCTTCACGCCGTGTCCGTGGGGGGCCCTGGGTTCACTGAAGGCTTCCCAGGTTAGTGGGCCTTGGGGTTCCTTCCCAGACTGGCACCTTCTCTCCCCTCTGAGACTTAGAAACGAGGGGAACCCCATCTCCCCCGCAGCCCTGGGCGGGTCCTCCGTGGCCGCTGCTTCTCCCGCGCCAGCTCAGGGGAGCTGGGGGCGCGCAGCGCCTGCCTGAGTTTCAAAAGTGGCAATATTTAAACTTGCCAGAGTTCCTGTTCAGTGGATTTGGGGGAGGGGTTCACACCCGTAATCCTGACTACTTGGGAGGCTGAGGTCTGAGGACGGTGACTCGAAGCCAGCCCGGCGCCGGTGGCTCACGCCTGTCATCCTAGCTACCCAAAAGGCTGAGATCTGAGGATCGCGGTTCAAAGCCAGCCCGGGCAGGAAAGTCTGCGAGACCCTCATCTCCAGTAAACCACCAGAAAACCGGAAGTGGCGCTGTGGCTCAAGTGGTAGAGCGCCAGCCTTGCGCCCAGGCCGAGTTCAAGCCCCAGGACCGACAAAAAAAAACAAATAAAATCCCTAAAAACGCCCGGGATCCCCGGAAACCCCGGAGGCGCGGACGCGACGGCGTGCCCAGCCCCCAGCCACGGGACCCGGCGGCTGCAGGCCCGGGATCCCCGCGCGAACCCGGCCCAGCACGCGCTCCGCGGATGCTCGAGCCCCGACGCGTCGCCTAGGCAACGACACGCTCCGCCCCGCCCGCGCACCAGATAGACGCTTCGGATTGGCTACACTCTGAAGACACGCCCCCTGCCTTCCCGCCCCGCCTCTCCAAGCATCAGCCGCCCTCACCTGCGCGCCCGCGAGGGGCGGAGCAGCCCGAATGAAGGCTGTCCCCGGGCGCACGCCTCCAGACCGGTGTCCCCGCGATTCCCGTCCGGCTTTTCCATGGCAACTTCCGGCTTGCGCGGCTCTCGCGTTGATACCTCTGGCCCGTTCGGAGACAAGGTCACTTCTGTCCTACCCGTGGAGAAACTGAGGCTGCCTGTGGGTCATCCTCTGCCGGAGAACGACCGGGCCAGGTCGGTGCCCGGATCTCTGGACTCCAGAGTGGAGTCTGCCCCACTCTCACCTGCATGGGCTGTTGTTTCGTTTCAGAAATGGAAATAAAGTTGGGAGTGCAGCGCATGCTTATTATGTGTGAGCCTCTGGGTTCACCCCGGGTACTAAAGATCAGACAGACATAGACCAGTGTGGTACATGCACGTTAGGGTTTTGTTATTGCTGATTGTTTTCTGTAGTGTGTGTGTGTGTGCTGCTCCTGGGGGCTTGAACTCAAAGTCTGGCACTATACCTGGGCTGTTTTTCTTTTTCCCCTCAAAGCTAGAGCTCTACCACTTGAGCCACAGCGCCACCCAGGACCTCATGCATGCAAGTCCAGCACTCTACCTACCCCTGAGCACCTGCCCAGCCCTAGCCAGTGTTTACTTCATTTTTTAATTTCATATTTTTGAGATGGATCTCATTAGTTTTACTGAGGCTGACCTTAAAAGCCCTCAATCTTTCCGAATGAATGAATGAGTGAACGAATGAATGAATGAATGGGACAAAGTACTGGTCCCCACGCAATAGACCATTGGCTAAATCCCACCCTGGGTCAAAGTTGAAGAATGAAGGAAGCCCGGACTTTCTCCCTGCAGGGGCCTGCCTTTCCCGCCTCCCTGCCACTTTGGCTGTTCAGTCAAGGTAGTCTGCTTCTCTGTGTGTTCCCGGGAAAGGTGACAGGTCCGCGGTGGAGGCGCTGGACGTCCACGTTCACCTCACTCCTCGCGGCGAGGCTGTGGGCCAGCTCTTCCAGGCAGACACCGGCCACAAGGTTGGTCCCTTCCCCGGAGGCCACGCTCCGGGTCGGGTCCGGCCGCCCCCTCCTCCCAGCCCGAGTCTGCTGGAGGCCGGCGTGTCTCTTTCCTCCCCGCTCCCAGATCCAGGGGCGAGGCCCGTCTCTCCTCCCGCCCCCCGCCCCCCCGGGGGCAGAACTCGGCCTTGCCCTTCGGAGCTGCGCAGGGAAACGCCGAGCAGCCGAGAAACCCCCCAGCCGTGGCCCCGCCCCGACAGGCCCCGCCCATGGATAAGCCACGCCCATTCCAACGGACACGCCCACTGGTGGCCACGCCCCGGGCGGGGATGCCTGGACGGTCCGCGCACCCCGAGCCCGCGGCCCGAGCCTCGGGCGCCTGCAAACTTGGGGCGCCCAGGGGCTCCCCGCGGCTGCTTAGGCCTTGTTGCGCAGGCGCCGTACTGGGCGCGGAGGACACAGAGACGGACGGGCGTCCGCATGGAGGTCCAGAGAGGCCAACCCTGGACTGTAAAAAACAAACGCGGTGCGGGCGCCGCCCTCCCCGCCCTGCCCCGGGCTCGACCTCATTCCGAACACTTGGCCCGAGGGCACTGGGGCCTCGGGGTGGCGGCACCCGGCCCAGCCTCGGCCCAGATCGGTCACGGGAGTGAACACCGACCCACCGCAGGGACTGTGCATGGCAGCGTCAGCCCCAAAGCGCCCAAGCCCCGGCGCAGGCGCAAGGTGCTCTGGCTGGGAGGGATCCTTAGACTTTCCCAGGCCAGCCCGTGACTGCGTTTGCCTTTGGCTCCGCCCTTTCCCCCCCACCCCATCCTAAACTGGGAGGTCAAGGGTTAAACTCTGGGCAGCCCCTTCAACACCTGAATGGGACTGGGGCCGGCCGCTTCCTGTTCCATTTCCCCCCCGAGTCCCTCTCCCGGCTGGCCAGGGCTGCCTGTGGCCCGGGTGCCCTCGGAGAACCCCCAAACGTCTCTGCCTCTGTCGTGGGGAGCTGAAGTGGTGAGTTGAAGGTCTTAGGGTTCAGGCTGGAAGGGAGAAGGGGACGCCAGGCCTTGGTGGCGGGGAGGGGGCTGGGAGAGAGTTTGGGGAGAACGATGGTGGGTGTGAGGCGCTCAGGGCCAGTGGGATAGGTGGTCCTGTGGCCGTGGGGGGCATCAAGGTGAGTCCAGGGACCTCCTGTGACACCAGGGAAGGCAGGTGACACGCGGCCCTGGGTGGACCAACCAGCCCCCACTCAGAGAGAAGCTCGACTGACAAAGATGAGCGAGTGGGACCCCTGGAAGTGCGTCCTGGGAGAAAGGGACGTTTCTTTCCCTATCCCTGGCCGGAGCGTGTCACGTTGTCTGGCAGGGTCTCATGGCCGACATACTGCTCCCACCTCCAGCAGCTCCAGACTAAGCTGCAGGGCTGCAGACTAAGCTAGTGAGAAGTTGGTGGCTTTCCTGCCCCACACCCCGCAGACCCCCTGCAGACACGCATGTTAATAGAGCTTTTGTCCTGGAAGGGGGGGGCAGGGCCAGCCTACTTGCTTGAATTCTACCTATTGCAAACCTTTGGGGCTTGGGCCTCACCTGGTGTGGCTTTGCCTGTAGGCTGCAATTTGGGAATCTTGTGATTGCCTATTTGTGCTGAGATATTCTGCCTCTTGTTAAGAAAGAAAGAAAAAAATCTCTCCAGTCTGAGAGGAACTGTGATCCTCTGTTTTGCAGATGTGGGCGTTCTAGAACTACATTTTCATCTTAGAGCAAAGCTTTGCTGCACAAGGTTTGAATGTGAGTTAGGCACCCCTGGTTTTTGCTTGTTAGATTTTTATGATAATGATGATAATTTATCACCCAGGCTGGGCCAGAATGAAGTGAGTCTCCATGAGGGCCTGCCCGCTGCTGGAGGGCAGCTCGTGGAGGTGATTGGTGCTCTAGGTTTTTTGCACTTGTAAGGTGCAAACACTGAAACAAAAGCCCATTTTCTTGAACATTTTTATCAAAGATCTTCTCCGCCCCAGACAATGTTACACGCTTCCCTCGGTTCCTAGGACTTCAAGGGAGGCGCTGTTAGGAGAAAAAACAAGAGTAGGAGGCGCAAAATGAAGCCATGACCTCTGCAGATCAGACTGAGCTTTAGTGAGCATCGGAGAGGGGTGACACTTGTTCCCTGGAGTCAGATCAGGAAAGCGGGGCGCGTGTGAGTGGGGGGAAAGGGAGGAAGAGTTAAATGGGTCGCAAGGAGAAGTGCTCGGTCCATGGCGGTTTCTAGTCATCTGCCCGGTGGACACGGAAAGTGCAGTTTCCACCTTTTTGGGGAGGAGCGGGGCGGAAAGCTCCGGGAGCTTCTCCCGGGAATTCCAGCCTTTGGGCGCGGAGGGCGCCTCAGGCGCGGCCCTTGCTCCTTCCTCGCCACTGTGAATCCGCGGGAGTCACCGAGCGCTGGGCCAACCCTGACTAGTTTAAACCCGAGGCCAGGAGGACAAATAGCAGAATCCCGATTGTGGCTCCGCGATGGTAGGTGATGTGTTCTGGGGTTCCAGGAGGATGGGGGGTGGGGCGCATCTGCATTTAAAAGAGCAAAGGAGCTTCGATCAAGGGCCCAAATTTTGGAGCAAGTTGGAGTCCCGGCTCAGCAGTCGAGCCAGCTTAACCAGCGCAGTGGGGTGGAGGCTGGTTGAATTCAAATCCCAGCTCTGCCCCAACCCCCACTCCCCAAAACTCTGAGCCAGGTGGACCTCTCCCACCTCCGTCGCAGGGGCAGGGCTACCTTCTAGGGTGGGGTCCATGTCTGGACCCTGAAGCTTGGGGGGGGTGTCCTCAGCTGTCCCCACGGCGAATAGCACCAGCCTGGGTACGCTCTGGGGCAAAGCACTGCCCTGCCTGCACTGGGGGGGGGGAGTGAGCCTCAACTTTTCTTCCCATCCCCCTGCTTGAGATTCCCTTTGGGGGTGGGAGGGTGGGACCGGTTTGGAGAGAGAACAAAAGTGAGAGGCTGCCCTGAGACGCTTAGGCAGGCGGGGCGGGGTGGGGGTGGGGGAGCAGGGTTGGGTGTTGGCTCTGGGGTGCGCAGCTTGTGGAGGCCCTGGTTTTGATCCTTAGCCTGGTGAAGAGGGAAAAAGCTTAAGTCTCCTGGGTGGTGCTCTGGGGATTAAATCAGCAAGACCGACTGAAGTCCTGGTGCTTGGTGCTGAGTGTAGGGCCATCCAGTCCTCTCTCCCCCAACCCCGACCAATTCCCCCCCACCCCAAGAAAAACAACCCTCCAATCTGAGTCATGGAGCAAGAAAGTAGCTTTGCTGGCCTGGGCTAGGAGGAGATGTACATGCAAAGCAGTGCCCCCTGGTGGCCATTGGGAGACACTTTCCCTTGCTAGAGGCTTGGGTGACTATCCCCAAAGGGGTGATACAATGCTTACAGTGAGATCCAGAATGTGAGAAGGAAAAAATAAGAAAGGATTATCCGGGCGCGGGCAGCTCAGGCTTGTCATCCTAGCTGCTCTGGAGGCTGAGATCTGAGCACTGCAGCTCTAAACCAGCTTGGACAGGAATGCTCATTTTTTGTCAGTTATGGGGCTTGAACTCTGGGCCTGGGCGCTCTACCACTTAAACCACAGCACCACTTCCGGTTCTCTGGTGGCTTATTGGAGATAAGAATCTCACAGACTCCTGCCCGGGCTGGCTTTGAACAGTGATCCTCAGATCTCAGCCTCCTGAGTAGCTAGGATGACAGTCGTGAGCCACCAGATCTCCCTCAACTTTGCCTTTTATCTGCTGGAGGGTTTGATCTCTTTCCGTCTCTTTGTCTCTCTGTCTTCTGAGACATAGCCTTTCCCTCAATCTTACCATAAAGCTGGGGCTCTCCATCCTCTTCGCCTCCATTTCTCAGCCTCCCCAGTGTTGGGATTATAAGCTTGAACCACCATGTCCCCTCGTGACAAGTTTCTTGGGTTCCCTGTGCCTCCATTTTCCTACGAAGATTTCACTAAATGCCCACGGCTGGGGAAAACTAGCCACACTGGCTGTCTTCCTGCAGATCACCGCGACGGCCAGCAGGGGCCATGCTGGTCCCATCTGACACCTGGAAAAAGATCCTAACCTGAGGTCTTCCATCTCACAGGTGTGGCAGCAGAAGAAAGGGCTGTGCCTTAGCAGGTATCCATAGGAGGTGTCACCTCCCTCCCCGCCCCCACCGAAGGCAGGCAGGATGCTCGCAGAGCCGGTGCCCGCTACCCCAGAGCAAGAGCAATTCCGGGCTATCAAGCTGGAGGACGAGGAGGCTGCTGACCAGGAGAGTCACGGGCGGCCGGAGGCCAGGCCTCGGCCCGAGGTAGCCCACCAGCTCTTCAGATGCTTCCAGTACCAGGAAGACATGGGGCCCCGGGCGTCGCTGAGCCGTCTGCGGGAGCTGTGCTGCCACTGGCTGCAGCCATCTCTGCACACCAAGAAGCAGATCCTGGAGCTGCTGGTGCTGGAGCAGTTTCTCAGCGTGCTGCCCCCGCACCTGCTGGGCCGTCTGCAAGGCCAGTGCCTCAGGGACGGAGAGGAGGTGGTGCTGCTGCTGGAGGGCGTGTCCCGGGACACCGGCCACGTGGGGCCACTGGTGAGAGACACGCGTGCGGTGAACGCTGCCCAGCAGGAAGGGGGTGGGGTGGGGGACCTGGGACTGACCACCCGAAGAAGAGATTGCTGAAAACCCCGCTTTCTCTCCCATTCACCCCCTTTTGCCCCCCCCCGCTCCACTCGGCTACGCTCCTCTCCGGGAGTCAGTGCCTCCTAACATGGCTGTGTGTCCACAGGATTTTAGTTTCAGCTCTATCAAGAACTGCCCTCTGGAGGAACAGGGGGGGCCTGCCCAGGTCACCAGCCACAGCCCCAAAAAAGAAGCGCCCCCCGAAGAGCCCTCCGTGCCTTGCCCAGCGAGCGAACCGCCCCCATCTCAGCCTGGCCCTGCCAGGCCTGCGGAGCCTGCGGAATGGAGGCCTGCTCCAAGCTCCAAGCCACCACTCAGCCCCGGGCCGCAGAGGACGCTTTTCACCCTGCATGAAAACAGTGAGAAGCTGAGGGTTGGGGGGAGCCGGGCTTGGTGGGAAGAAGCTGGTGGCTTCATGGCTCTGGGTGATGGGCACTGCCGCCTGGCGGCCACTTACTAACAATAGTACCTACTAATTGCAATTTCTTCTCCCACAACGCGGTCAGCGCCCCAGGACCACTCGTGGCCAGAGGAGAACTCTCGAGATAAGGAGATGGCAGCTAAAGAGCTGGCAGCGGTGCTGGTGAGCTGAGCGGATCCCTCACCCCAGACCCTTGTATTTGTTTTTTGTCCATCATGGGGCTTGAACTCTGGGCCTGGGCACTGTCCCTCAGCTCTTCAGCTCAAGGTGAGCGCTCTACCACTTGAGCTACAGCACCACTTCCGGTTTTCTGGTGGTTTATTGGAGATGAGTCTCATGGGACATTCCTGCCCAGGCTGGCTTTGAACCCCAATCCTCAGATCTCAGCCTCCTGAGTAGCTAGGATTCCAGGCATGAGCCACCAGTGCCCAGCATCCCAGGCCCTTTTGAAACATGAGACAGTTCTCTACTCTTTGGTGTGGTAGCCACCCATGTGTTCACTAACTGCATCTTGGAAAGAGCTTCGTTGCCCGCAGATCACAGAGCCCATGCCTCTCTCACTTGGTGGGGGGTCTTTGCTTTTGTTATAGGAGACCTTGTCTTTTGAGGATGCCCCAGAGAAGAAGAGTGTGTACCCTCATGGTAAGCAGTCCTTCCTCCTGTCATAGTGGCCAAGGGCTTTGCCTGCAGCCCCAACACAGCATCTGTGTGTGTGTGTGAGAGAGAGAGACAGAGACAGAGAACTGGGGTTTGAACTCAGGGTCGCCCACATTCTCCCTTGGCTTTTTTGCTCAAGGCTGGTGTTCTACCACTTGAGCCACACCTACTTCCAACGTTTTGCGGGGAAACTGGGATAGGAGTCTCTCCAATGGGGTTGTCCAAGCTTGCTTTGCAGCATGATCCTCAGCTCTCAGCCTCCTGAGATTGGCCATGGGCAGGGTCCTGGGTGTCTTTTCTCTTCCAGACTTCTCAGGTTTGGTGGATTCCCGAGAGGTTTTGGAAGAGGGTGATTTCCTTGTTTGCTCCCCCTTTTTAATTATGTGTATGGGTATGGGGGGGGGTCCCGGTGCTTGAACTCGGTCTTACAGTCCCACGTGGCTTTTTCCCCCCTCAAGGCCAAAGCACACTTTTCCACTTTACATTTCTGGCTCTTTAGAATAGTTAACTGGAGAGGAGTCTCTTGGAAGGTTCTCTCTGAGCTGGCTTGGAACCACGATCCTCCTGTTTGCTTCTTTCCCAGAATTCATAAGCCGAATTACAGACAGTGAAGACTTTAAACAAGCAGAGCCCAAAGGAGCTGCCTGGCCCCCGATCTTCTCAGCAGAGTCCCCCGCAGACAGCGCGGTGGTGGGCGGGGAGCCTCTCCCCGCGAGGCCGGAGCCGGAGGCGGGCGCCGGGGGCAGCGCAGGCGCAGACCGAGCCGCGGGCCGCGGCCCCCGCAGGGCCGGGGCCGCCAAAGCCGCCAAACACTTCCTGTGCACCGAGTGCGGGGCGAGCTTCCCCAAGCTGTCCCGCCTGGAGACGCACCAGCTGAGCTCGCACCCGGGCCACCGCTCCTTCGCCTGCCCGCACTGCGCCAAGACCTTCGGCCGCAGCTCCATCCTCAAGCTGCACCTGCGCACGCACACGGACGAGCGCCCGCACGCCTGCCACCTGTGCGGCCACCGCTTCCGCCAGAGCTCGCACCTGACCAAGCACCTGCTCACGCACTCGGCCGAGCCGCACTTCCGCTGCGCCGAGTGCGACCAGGGCTTCCAGCGCCGCTCCAGCCTGGTGCAGCACCTCCTGGCGCATGCCCAGGACCCGGCGCGCGCCCGAGACCCCGCGCATGCTCAGAACCCTGCGCCCGCCCGGGACCCCGCGCATGCTCAGGACCCGGTGCCCGCCCTGGACTCCGCGCATGCTCAGGACCCAGAGCCCGCCCGGGACTCCGCGCATGCTCAGGACCCAGAGCCCGCCCGGGACTCCGCGCATGCTCAGGACCCAGAGCCCGCCCGGGACTCCGCGCATGCTCAGGACCCAGAGCCCGCCCGGGACTCCGCGCATGCTCAGGACCCCAAGCCCGAGCCGGAGGCCCGGCCGCCTGTCTTCCTGTGCTCGCGCTGCGGGCAGACCTTCCAGCGGCGCTCCAGCCTCAAGCGGCACCTGCGGATCCACGGCGCGGACGGGGCGGGGGACGCGGCGGCGGCCGGGGCCGGCGCGGGCCGGGAGAGCCGGCCGTACAAGTGCGCCGACTGCGGCAAGGCCTTCCGGCGCGGCGAGCACCTGGTCACGCACTGGCGCGTGCACACGGGCGAGCGGCCGTTCTCCTGCCGCGCGTGCGGCCGCAGCTTCACGCAGAGCTCGCAGCTGGCCAGCCACCAGCAGGTGCACTCGGGCGAGCGGCCGCACGCGTGTCCGCAGTGCGGGAAGCGCTTCCCGCGCCGGCCTGGCCCGCCACCTGCTCACGCACGGCGGGCCCCGGCCGTACCGCTGCGGCCAGTGCGGCAAGACCTTCACCCAGACCCAGGACCTGACCCGCCACGTGCGCAGCCACACCGGGGAGAAGCCGTGCCGCTGCAGCCAGTGCGGGGAGGGCTTCAGCCAGAACGCGCACCTCACCCGCCACCAGCGCATCCACACCGGGGAGAAGCCGCACGCCTGCGACACCTGCGGCCACCGCTTCCGCAACAGCTCCAACCTGGCCCGCCACCGCCGCAGCCACACCGGCGAGCGGCCCTACGCCTGCCCCACCTGCGGCCGCAGCTTCCGGCGCAACGCGCACCTGCAGCGCCACCTGGTCACGCACACGGGCGCGGGGCCCGAGGTCGAGGCCCCCCAGGAGTGCCCCGAGTGCGGCAAGAGCTTCAGCCGCAGCTGCAACCTGCTGCGCCACCTGCTGGTGCACTCGGGCGCCCGGCCCTACGCATGCGCGCAGTGCGGCCGCAGCTTCAGCCGCAACTCGCACCTGCTGCGCCACCTGCGCACGCATGCGCGGGAGACGCTGTACTAGCGGCCGCCGCCCCGGGTACCTGCACCCCCCGGGGCCCCTGCACTGCACCTGCCTCTCTTTCCCCAGCACCCCCGGCGTCACATCCACCCCCGGCCTCTCTTCCTTCCTGGCCTGTGAAATGTATTTCAAATGCCCAAAGTAAAATGGCCTTCTTGAGACCTGCCGTTGCTTCCTTTGGTTATGGAGTCCATTCTCGGCTGCACCACAGAGCCCATCCCACGGCCGGCCGGCGCCCTCCCCACCAGGACAAGGCGAGGTCTCTCTTCCGCACATCTCCCCACATCCTTTGTGGGGGGGGACTAGTGTGGGGGGGGTCCCTGTAGTCCCAGCTATTCAGGAGGTAGAGGTGGAGGTTTGGGTTTGAGGTCAGCCCCGTCTGACGAAGTCAGTGCAAGACCATGCAAACAAACCAAACCGCATGCTGGTAGCTCACGCCTGTGATCCTAGCTACTCAGCACAGATCAAGACCAGCCCAGGCCGGACTCATCTCCAGTTAACCCCCAGAAACCCAGAAGTGGTGCTGTAGCTCAAAGAGGTCGAGGGCTAGCCCTGAGCAAAAAAGCTCAGGGACAGCACCTTGAGTTCAAGCCCCATTACTGTCCAAAAAAAGAAGAAAGAGAGGAAGGAAGAAAGAAAACAAACTGAGTTAGATGCCAGTGTCTCACACCTGCCAGATCAGTTTTTACAAAACACTGAAAACAACCAGGTGCCAGTAACTCAGGTCTTTTATGCTACCTACTCAGGAGGATGAGATCTGAGAAGTGTGTGGCTCAAAAGCAATCTGGGCAGATTCTTATCTGCAGTCAGCCAGCAAAATGGCTCCGGTGGTACAGCTCCAACCTTGATTGAAAAAGCTAAGGGACCATATCTGGACCCAGTTCTAGCCCCAGTACCTGCACAGGCATGTGTGCGTGCACATGTACACATGCACACACACAAAACACTAAAAGCAAAAGGACTGAGGGCAAGGCAATAGAGCACTTGTGGCTCCCTCCAAAACCAGTAAAATGCAATAGAATGCTAAATCCCAGGTTCTGATCATGGATCCTTTTGTTGTGGAACATTGGAAACCATCTCAACTGGAAATGGCAGGTGAGCAATACCTGCTAGCTGGGCCCAGTACAGCTGCTGTGAAGACTACCCACAATCCTCTTACCCACAGCTACTGAACTTTTGTTTTACTCTTCAGTGTTTCTCACCACATAACCTCTGAAGCTCCGTTACTATAAGTCAGGTGACTTCTCATAAAATAAAAATAAGAAAGAAGGGGGGGAGGAGGGGAAAATCCCAGCCTTCCGTGCATGCTCTCTTCCTGTTTTTAGTTGGCTGCTTTTCAAGCACAACTTGAAATGTGATCATCTGACACATTAGGGCAGCTGTGTAAAGAACCAAACGCCAGCTGGGGTTCACCTAGGGGAAAGTACAGAGTCCGCTTTTTCTTTTCAGTGCTGAGGATAAAGCCACATGCTAGGCACAAACCATACCCCTGAGCTGCCCTCCAAGCAGGCTCATAGAAATAAATGCCTCTGGAGTTCCAAGGGAGGGTCAATGCTGTGGGGGCTCAGGGAGGATTGCAGTACAACACTTACAAGAGCAAATAAATCTCATAGAAGACTCCAAGGAAGAAAATCCCAGTGAGAAAGGATTAGTCAACCTAGAGAGGAAGGTTGAGAGGCAAGGATTGGTCTCAGGGTTTACACCTTTATCTGGACAGTGGTGCCTGCTGGAATCCCAGTTACCCTAAACACACAGTTTCAAAAAGAAAAAAAAAAAAAGGCTAGGGATGGGACTCAAGTACTTTAGTGCTTTCCTACCATGTGAAAGGTCTTTTGTTCAACCATTTGGCACCAGAAAAAGAGTTAAAAATAAAATAAGGGCCAGGTACTGGTGTCTCACACCTGTAATCCTAGCTACTCAGTAGGCTAAGATCTAAGGGTCGTGGTTCAAAGCCAGCCCAGTCAGGAGATTCTCTTTTTTTTTTTTTTGGTGGGTCATGGGGCTTGAACTCTGGGCCTGAGTGCTGTCCCTCAGCTCTTCAGCTCAAGGCTAGCGCTCTACCACTTGAGCTACAGTGCCACTTCCAGTTTTCTGGTGGCTTATTGGAGATAAGAGTCTCACGGACTTTCCTGCCTCAGCTGGCTTTGATCTCATCCTCCTGAATAGCTAGAATTATAGGTGTGAGCCTCCAGCACTTGGCTCTCAGGAAATTCTTATCTCCAATAAACCACCAGAAAACAGGAAGTGGTGCTGTGGCTCAAGTGCTAGAGCACAAGCCTTGAGCTGAAGAGCTGAGGGACAGCGCCCAGGCCCAGAGTACAAGCCCCAAGACCGACAAAAAAAAAGAAAAAGATCTGGGACTAGTGCCCAGGCCCTGAATTCAGGCTCAACAACAACCAATAATAATAACAGCAGCAACAGGACAGGACTGGGGCATCCCAGGGCATTGATAGGTGCAAAACTCTTGGAAAGCAGGTGCTTGGGTGGCAATTGACCCCACCTGTCCCAGGGAGGAGAGGGGGGGGGTGCCCTGACCCAAGGTCACAGCTGTGGCCAAGGAGAGGCTGGGTGAGGATCTAGCAGTGAGAGCCCCTGGGAGCCTGGGGTGGAAAGCCGCAGGCCAAAGACACATCAGACAGATTGCCAGGATGTAAGAGGTGAGGGGTGAGGGCCTGCTGCGCCCCTGCTCAGTCGCCGCCACCCCTAGGTTGTGCTTTCATTCTTTCCCAGAAGGAAAAAGGGGCAAGGCCAAGAGGGTCCCCGAAGACCCTTTCCCCTCACCCCACCCCTGGGGCTGCCTCCCACCCCTTTGCCAGGACTGCAGAAAGGGCTGGAGCACCAACGGTCCCTTCAGAATAACTGGGCTACCAAGGGGGTCATTGTTGGGCTATAACTCTGCACACTGCCGCTGAAAACGGCTAACAGTGACAAACATGGCTGGGCCCAGGGAAAACCTCTGCTCCCTGTGATCCCACACTGGAGAGGAAATTGGTTGGTGACTCACTCACACAAAAAAAGTCTCTAATCTCTGAAGCTTCCTGGACCGCCAGCCACACAGCCAGGCCCCATCCACCCACCCTGGGAGGAGAGGCTCCGCTCTGAGGGGGGTGGGGGGGTATGAGGCAACTCCTCTGGAATGCTCCCTAGTCTGGTTCCTGGTCCTCCTCCTGCCTGCCTGCACCTCATGCCAGGTCCTGGGGCCCCAGCACCCCCAGTGCACATTGATCTCAGCCGTTGCTAAAAGCCTGTTGCAGGTAGAGAGGCCTCGGGCCCTTGGCATCTGAGGGGTGGGGGCTAGGGAAATGATTTGAGAAGATAGGCCCAGGAGTTTCTGTGTGTGAGAAACAGGAAGACAGCACACCCCTGTAGCCCCAGCTACCAGGGACCATGAGGCCTGTGCTGCCCCCCAGGACTGAGCACCTGCCAGGCGAAATCCTGCAGTCCTCCCCACAAGCCCAGCATTAGGCCCTAGTGGAGCCGACGAGGCTCATCCGGCCTCATTCAGGAGGAGCCATCTGACCCACAGGCACCTCCTGCGACCCCTGGTCCTCTGCCGGTTAGGACACTGGAAGCTTGAGACCAGAGATTTGATTCTTTCAACACAACTTTTATTAAAGGCAATAGAATGACAGCATCAAGCCAGACTTACAGAAGGAAACAGGGGGGTCTTAACGGCCTGGGCAGTGGAGGCTGGGCACCAGAAGCTGTTGGGGGAGGGATGCATGGTCAGGTAAAATAAACATGGAGTCTGGGCAGGGCGGTGCTCATTGCAGGACGGGAGGATTTCAGGCGCCGGGCACCGAGGCCTGGGCCCACGTGGCTTTCCTAACTTCTCGAGAAGAGATTTTTCACACTCTGGAACAAACGCTGGATGGCATCCCACACGGCATGGGCGGCGTTGCTCACCGTGTCCCTTAACCACCTCAGCGCCTCCACGATCTTCTGATACACCGTCTGCAGCATCTCCTTGAGACTTTTCAGCATGCTGTCCCAAAAGTCGGACTGGGTCTGATGGGAGAGAATCACAAGGTTCCAGGGCCTGTCCCCTGGCACGCCGCCTTTGATTTCTTGCCATTGCTAAGGACCAGATCCCGGGGTCCTGGACTTTCCTCAGTGTGAGGACACGGCCATCTCCATCTCCCCAGGCCTCCACCCTCCCCCGCCCCGCCCCGCCCCATGCCTGCCACAAATGGAAACTGACACATCTGCAGCCTCTGTCTAATGGGAGGGACACACGAGCAAGTCCATCTTTTCCCCCAAAGCCACCCCTCACCCAAATCTGGAGAGACTGAGGGTGAGGACATACACCCCAGGGGGATGGCGGACACACCTACCGGGTGAGTTGTTTTTGCGTATGAATGTCGGACAGTAATAAGGAATTTCTGGAATGCTACTTTCTGTGAAGAGACACTGAGTTGGAGACACCAGGCCTGGTCTGTCCCCCTCCCGGGTCTCAGGTGAGCTGGGGGACTTCCTCAGCATCACAGACATCCAGGACCCCCCGCAACACACCGGGGGAACAGTCTTACCGCTTTGATCTCCCAGATAACTACGGGGTCATCTGTCTGTGGAAGAAACGAGGGCACTTAGGGACTGTGTGGCCTTCCGCCACCCCCAGAGACTCTATGACATCTACCATCAAACACAGGAATTGCAGGGAGGAAGAATGTGCTAGTCAGGCCTGGTCCAGACAGAAGCCCACAGCCACGCTGCCTCTTAGCCTTGTGAAGGCCATGCAGGTGAAGTTGATCTCCTCTGATGTTCATGAATTTGTGTGACAGCCAATGAAGGTATGTGGTAGATACCGAGTTTAAGACTGGGTCGCAAAGAAAATCAAAAAAGCAAAAACAATCCACTCTGGCGAGAGGCATAGCTCAAGTGATAGAACACCTGCCTAGCAAGTGATTCAAGCCCCACAACCACACTACTAGAGATATACAAGTAATTACACAGAAGCATATTTATAACTTAGCCAAAACGTTAGGTTTTGTAACTCTCAAAGAAGAAGGAACTTTTTATGTGTTCTGGTCTGTTTGGTGGTACTTAGCAGTGCTGGAATTTGAACTCAGGGCCTTGCCAGGAAAGTTGCTCAACCATTTCTACATGCTAGGCCAGGCTGTTGCGAGTCCTCCAGGGAGGAGGGGGAGCTGGGGGTCCTGCCCGGTGCTCACGGGGACAGAGCCATACCTTGCTCTCGTAGGCGTCCTGGGGGTTTGGAGCCTGGGAATCCTCATCCACAGCGGAGGAGTCAGAGCCAGAGCGCAGTCTGTGGTATAACTCCTGCCTCACGTCACAGGGGAGAGGAGCGCCGTCCTGGGGAAGATGGTGGCCAGTCAGGGTCTGGATGCTCAGGGTGTGTGCATAAGCCCAGGACTGACCCCAGCAGGACTGCCCAGCCTCTCTAGGAGTCCTGGAAACAGGAAAGACCTCCGGGCTTTGCCCAGGGGCCCCGCCCTCCAATCCCCTCCCTGGCCTAGATCACAATGGTTTGAAATGTGTGCTCATGAGCTGGGCTGTGTCCAGCACACCTGCCTAGAGGAGGCCGGGGCTCGGGCACCAGCCAGGCAGCCTAGCCCCAGCCCTCCACCCTCCATCCTATGCCAACTGTGCCCAGGCCTGCTCTGGGACCAGAAGGAAAAAGGGGGCAAGGAACGACAAATGCTGGAGGGGATGTGGAGAAAGAGGAACCCTATTACACTGCTGGTGGGAATGTACACTTATACAACCACTTTGGAAAGCAGTCTGGAGGGTCCTTAGAAAGCTAAAGATTGACCTCCCTTACGACCCAGTCATACCACTTCTAGGCATCTACCCTGAACAACAGGAACCAATATACAAGGACACGTGCACCTCCATGTTTATTGCAGCACTGTTCACAATAGCTAGGATATGGAAACAACCCAGATGCCCCACGACAGATGAATGGATCCAAAAATTGTGGTATCTATACACAATGGAATATTATGCAGCCATTAGAAATGACAAAATAATGGCATTTGCAGGGAAATGGATGGAGCTAGAAAGAATCATGTTGAGCGAGGTAAGCCAAGAGCGAAGAGACAAACGGTACATGGTCTCCCTGATAAGTGGATGCTAAATCCACAATGTTAGGTGATACGACAAAACTAACAGGACTTAAGAAACAAAGAACTCCCACTCATCTGGTTGAACCACTACTAAATATCCCCATGCTGCTGATCACATGTATGGTGTATAACATGTGAACACTGTTATATATTGCAGACTGTGATAGACAATTTGCTCCAGGAAAGTTAGAATGAACTTGTGACTTAGAAATTATGTAATCACTTAATCACAATAAAAAAAAAAAAAGAACTTCGGGGAAGGGAGGGAGGGAGGAGATGGTAGGGGGAAAACAATGGAGGGGCTAACAATGTTCAAGAGGAAGTGTACTCATTACCTCACTCATGTATCTGTAACCCTCTGTATAGTATCTTTACAATAAAAAAAAAGAACAAATGGTATAATAAAGAAGGCTTCACAAATGGAAAAAAAAAAAGAAAAAAAAAAGAAAAAGGGGGCAAGGGAAGGAGGAGAGGAAGGGCTTATTCTAGCAGCCTTGGTGACTCACTTGGCTGTTGCTTGCATAGACCGAATCCAGGGCTTCCACCAGGCTTCCGCCCAGTGCATCCTGCGGGAGAGAAGAGTTCAGGGCCGCCTGGTGCCACCGTGGCCTCCAGGGGAATCCCCAGAGCGCCTGGAGCCCCGCTCCCCTCATGTGGGCACCTCCCCAAGCCGGGCACCTCGGTCCTGGGACTAAACTCACCTCTAATGCTGACAGCGCCTATTGAGGGAAAAAAATCACTTTGTTCAATCCGGTCTCCAGTTCCTGCCTGTCCTCAGCTTTCTACATTTGCCCCTAACTTGCTCCAGCAGGGAGCTGAGGATCCTCTCTGTCCACACCCATTTCCCTCAGGGACACACAGAGCTAGGGGCTGCAGGGGGCGTGGGCAGTGTGAGGGATGAGCACACCTGCAAGACCCCCCAGTCTCCCCCCCCCAGATGCAGATGCGGAGCGACTAGGTGCACCCCAGGGAAGGTGGGGCGCCTTTCTGTCCACGCCTTGCAAGCTGAGGGTAGTGGTCATGGAGGCCTCTGTGTAAACACCCCCTAGGCCCCCAGGACTTTCTGGCCAGAAGTTCCTCAGCATCCCAGATTGAGATCCCCCCAAGACACTCCCCCCCGGCACACACTCCCTCCCCCCACCCCCACCCCCAGGTGCCAGGGGCTACCGCATGTAGCTAGAGCTTCTCAGGAGTCTCCTCGGGGTCATGGTTCAAAGCCAGCCTGGATGGGAAAGTCCAGCTCTCACTCACCTTGGCGTAGCACATGGCGGCTCAGGGGCCAGGGGCCTGGTGGGAAGGAACAGGTGAGGGGAAAAGCAACTCAGAGGAATTGCCCGCCAGACCTCGCACCCTCGGGCTCTGCCCAGCTGGTCCTGCGCCTCAGGCTCTGTCCAGGGCCCTGCCACCACACACCCAGCCCTGTCCTGCGGCCAGGGGTGTAACCCTTGCTGAAATGGTCACCTTCTGTCCAGTCCTCCTAGCTCAAAGGCCAGCAATGTCTGCTCAAGAGGAGGACCCAGGCTGACCTAAAGTAGAAGAGGAGGAGGGAGGAGCAAGGGAGGGGAGCACGGCATCTACATCCTTCCCGGGGCAGGGCCAATGGCTGCCAGGGAGACAAGATTGGAAACCGAAAGGGAAAGTGAGGGGCAAGGCCAGCCTTACCTCCCCCTTCCTCCAAGCCTGGATGGGGTCCAGAGCTATTTCCAGGACTGCCCAGGGCAGGGGTGGCAGGGGGAGGGTTCAGACTGGGGACAGTGTATGGCTAACCCCTCAGCTCAGTGGAGGTGGGGTGAGCAAGGGTCAGAGCTCTCAGGTGTCTGCAGGAGGCAGAATCCGCCGGGAGAGCGGCTGGCTCCCGGCCGGCGGCTGAGCTCAGAGGCAGCTGGAGCTGCGGTCACTGGGTGGGCACCCCCAGGTCTGCAGGGGCCAGGAGGGGCTGTAGAGACCCCAATACAATCATTCCACACCATGCTTTCAGACTTTGTTTTTTTTTCTTATTTCTGTTTATTTCTCCTGCAGAACTATCAGAAGAACAAGCAACCTGTGGGCCGGGCACGTGGTCTGTAATCCCAGCTTCTCAAGGGACTGAGACCTGAGGGTCGCAGTGGACAGCCAGCCCAGGCGGGAAGTCTAGGAGGCTCTTTACCTCCAATGAACCACCAGACAGCTGGAAGTGGGCTGGGAGAGCACGTGCCTTGAGCAAAAGCTCAGGGACAGTGCCCAGGCCCTGAGTTCAAGCCCCAGGACTGGCAAAAAGAAAAGATGTTACAAGAGTCCTTTTTGTCTCTTTGTGTTCGGAACACAAGTTCCTTATCAGACATATGAATTGCAAATCATCATCATCCCCACGCTGAGGTTTGTCTAACCTTGGTGGTGGGGTGCTCTTTCCAGGTTTCTCTCTCTGGTCTCTCCCCCACATCATCCCCGGGCCCCGGGGAGGGAGGCATCCCTCCCCACCGGCGGCTCAGGAGCGCTCGCAAGGAGGAGAGGCGTTGGCCAGCCATGTTTGTTGTCTTCGGTGGCAGGCTGGGTTTCCCCTCCGGTTCTCGGAGGGGGGCTGGGGAGGGCGCGGGGGTCCTTGGGGGCTCGGAGGGGGTCAGGTGGCGGCGGTGGCGGGGGACGCGAGCCTCCCGCCGTGCTGGTCCGGGGCAGTTTCCTCCAGGCTGCCCAGGCTCGGGCTTCCGCCGGCCTCTCCGGGCCGAGGCCGTGCGCCTGGCCCTCCAGGGGTGCGGGGCAGAGGGGTCCACGGGGGCGAGGCCGAGGCC